GTAAGAACTAGCAGTGGCGTAGGCCAACTGCTGCGTCGCCTCATGTCGGCTTTAACCATGTGCTTAATTTATCTCTGTTTATCTGAGTCAGTAAGCTGTATGTGCTGTTGTAGCTTTTTTTTATTTTGCTCACAGGCTCGGCGATGGCAACAGCAAGTGATTTTCTGTGTGGTGTTGTTGCACAGTGGCTATCAGCCAACAACAATAACGAGGAGAAAAAGGCCGTTCTGCTTGCTTGTGTCATATAGCTGATTCACTGAGTCGGAGCAGAGCTGGATGGGTTCCCTTCACTCTTCTATCTTCATGCCTGAAATCTCAATTCAGGGTGTTTTAACGCAGCAGCCCTTGCCTTTGTGCAACATGACTAGCAGGTTTTCTTCACTGAAGGAATGGTCAGGGCAAATTTGAGTTGGTGCAGTGCAACCAAGGAAATGTATTACCTGTCTGCTTAATTTGGATTTAGTAAAATAACATTTGGCTTGTGGTTGAATGGTGTCTAGGTCTTGCATGTGGATTTTGATGTCTGTGATTGTAGTCAGAGGCTCCTAGACTGGTTGGAGGTATAAGTGATATTGGTTTCTAAATGTCTAATCTCTAGGAGAAAGGATTTGTGCTCTGCAGAACATGATACGGGAATATAGTGGAATCAACTAAGCTTTTCTTGTTAAATATGTAAGTGTTAGTCATTTCAAGTTAACTCAGCTTAGGAAGTCTAATTTTCACACCACTTTAGAACTTATAAACATGAGTTGTTCTGACTTGAGGTATTTCAGATTGAATGAGTTTACTCAACTTATTAAATGAAGTTTGAAAGAAACAAAGGTAGCAGACTTCCCAGCAAGAGTTAAAACTCTTCAGACACTCTTCTTTTTTGTACTTTGAGAAGGTGAAAACTTTATTGTGTTTGTAATACAATACATTAAACAAAATCATGGTTGTTTCTTCCCATAAAACTGAAAATGATGTAAATCATCACAAAGGGTAGTGCTGAATTCAGTCACTACCCTCACACACTCAGACTTTGATAAAGTCGCTGGGAGTAATCTAGTGTTGTCACGATACCAACATTTTGGTACCGGTACCAAAATGTATTTCGACACTTTCGATACTTTTGGATAGTTTTTCAGATACAAAGAGAAAGCAAAAAATGTCATTACTGACTTTATTTTAATAGAAAATCAAAATAAAATTCAAAATACTAGGCTTTTCTTATTGCACTCAAAAAAAATTCTCTGTTTGATAAGAACTCTTTATCATGTGTTGCACACTTAAAACTATTGAACTATTGCATTTGAAAAGGGTACATGTCATGAGTAAATTCCCTGTCGTTCCCTGAACTCAGTGTGCAGGTCT